CATTGATGGAATGCACCTTAAAAAAGGGATGGAATGATAAATTTTTGTTTTCATTTGCAGAACTGGAGATTAAATTCAGAGCCTTCACATCCCCAGCCCTTTTTTTATTTTTTATTTTGAGACAGGGTCTCACTAAGTTGCTAAGTTGCCTAGGTTGGGCTCCAACTTGTGATTCTCCTGCCTCAGCCTCCCAGAGTGCTAGGATTAAATGTGTATACCACCATGTCTGGCTTGAAATGATAAATTTTATGCTACACATGTATGTTCACAACAATTTAAATACACACACACACACACACACACACACACACACGAGGACCAATGTGGCTAGAGCACAATGACAAAAGGGGAGAAGGGTAGGGAACTGAGGGCCTCACAGCCAAAGCAATGCATGGATTTCATTCTTTTTTTTTGAGACAGGGTCTTGCAATATAGTTCAGGTTGGCCATGAACTCACTATGTAGCTCAAACTAGCCTCAAACTCACAGCAGTTCTCCTGCCTCAGCCTCCTAAATGCTGACATTAGACGTGCATCACCACATCTGGCTGGATTTCATTCTTAAAGAAGACAGTGGGGAGCTGTGACCCAGACACTTCAGAACTTCTCTAGAGTAATGCAAATGGCATTACTTCACAACCTGTCTCTCTTGGCAGGTTGCCATGCCCTGTCCTGTGTGTGTGTAAGAATGTGGGGCTCACTTCTTCTAGCAAGAGACTGATCTTCCGCCCAGCAGTACTTCCACCCCAAACCTAGGTCCCCAACTCAAGTGTTTCCTACATGAAAGCAGCACTTTGCCCTGCCTGTTTCCTCCAGGGGTACAACAATGGGAACTGAAGATTCTTTAAATTAGGGGCAACCCACTTTCCAGGCCCCCTTCTGTCCCTGTTAGACAGAAGCTTTCTTTCTCACAGTAAATTTTTTCTACTCTTAACCTCCGTTGTTCCCAGAATTCAGCCATTGGATTTAGAGAACAAGAACTCAGTGTTTTGGACCTCTAGCAGGGTGGGAGCGTATTTCCCTTATTGTATTTGGAAGTCCTACGTCATATGCCCTATATCTCCAGCACCATGGGAGGCTGAGGCAGGAGGATCACAGTGAATTCTAGGCCAACCTGAACTACATACTCTGTGTTAAAAAAAAAAAAAAAACAAAAAAAAAAACTATTTGGGAGGTTGGCCCCTGAGGACCTGGAAAGTATCAAGAATGACTTGGCTCCCTAGCTTAAGTGGATGGAGCTAGGGAGGTAGCTCAGTGGCAGAGTGGTTGCCTAGCACGTGCAAGGCCCTGAATTAGATCCCCAGAACAGTAGAGGGAAAAATCCTAGCTTGAGTGGATGGTATGACAGTATCATTTACTGAAATGGTCTCTGAAGTCCAACAAAGGAGCAGGTTTGGAGAGAGAAGTTCAAGAGTTCAATTTTGAGCCGGGAGTGATGGGACACGCCTGTAATCCCAGCACTCAGGAGGCTGAGGCAGGAGGATGGCTGCAAGTTTGAGACTAGCCTGGGCTACAAAGTGAGCTCAAGCCCGGCCTGAACTGCATAGTGAGACCCTGTCTCAAAAAAGATACACACACAAAAAAGAGTTCAATTTTGGATGTAGCAAGATTTAGACCCCCGTGCAATATCCAAGTGGAGAGATCAAATAGGCAGATGAATATATTATCGCCTTAGGATTCAGAAAGTGGTGCGAATGAAAGTTAGATATGGTGCTGATAATCACCCTTGTCACTGAATTGTGCAGACTGGGCTGGGAAGACATGGCGGAAGGAATAGTGACCTGGGCTGGGCATCAGAGCATCTAGGTTTTAGTTCTACTCAATTCTATCACTACACACCCTCTCTGACTTTGTTTCACCATTAGTAACACAAAGAGGGGGGCCCACACCAGGTGTTTTGTGGGAGTGGAGTTACTGGGGATTGAACCCAAAGCCTTTGCATTCAGCTAATCTCTGGCCCATTTTTTATTTTTTATTTTGAGACATGGTCTCACTAAGTTGCTAAATTGCCCAGGATGGACTTGAATTTATGATCCTCCTGTCTTGGCCTCCCAGAATGCTCAGATTACAGGCCTGAGCCACTACACCTTGCTGTGGTAGGGGTGGGAGTTTTTGGATACAAGTTATCTTCTCCCTACCAAAATAAATATGAAAAATTATTATACACAATTTTAGGAGTTTCCTCAGTTCCTGGAGACTGGTTTGCTTGTTGAACAAAGCACACCAAAAGCCACATGTAAGAAAATTGTAGCAGAATCTGATGTTACACTTAAGGGAGAATTCCTTTTTTTTGTTTTTTTTTTTTTTGGTTTTTCTCCAGTACCGGGAACAGAACTCACGACCTTGCGCTTGCCAGGCAGGCGCTTTTGCCGCTGAGCTAAATCCCCAGCCCCTAGGGAGAATTCCTTTGATAAGCCTCAGCTGGTATCAGCGATGTTCCAGAGGAAATTATCTGCCAAGCTGGACTTTTATCAGCCAAATGTAAAGTAGTGCTCAAATTCATGGATTTTAATTAAAATGGTGTGCTCAAAGGATTTAAGGAGAACTAACTCATGTATTCAACAAATACATGAAGGATACAAACTATTTCAGTCCATTAGAAGATACCAGCAATATAATTCTGCTGGAAGACTCTCAAGGAGATTTAAGAATGGCAGATGGGGTAGCTAATGTTGAACATATTTTGAAAACTGGCTATCTAAATGACAAGAGTTGATGAGCTTTTAGACAAGTACATGGACTTCTACACTGTTCTACTGTAGCACTGATAATAAACAGGAAGTGAAAAGCCTTTAAAAATAAAAAATAAAGAAAAAACCCCTAGATGGAAAACTATCATTCCTGAAGATATCTGCCTTTCCATGTTCACTGCAGCACTCTTCACAATAGCCAAGATATGGAACCAGCCACACACACAATGGATTATTCAGCCTTAAAAAGAAGGAGATTCTGACACTTAAGAAAACTTGGGTCACCGGGCGTGGTGGCGCACGCCTGTAATCCCAGCACTCGGGAGGCTGAGGCAGGAGGATCATTTCGAGTTCGAGGCCAGCCTGGGCTACAAAGTGAGTTCAAGGCCAGCCTGAACTGCATCGTGAGACCCTGTCTCAAAAAGACAAAAAAAAAAAAAAAAAAAAAAAAAAAGAAAGAAAACTTGGGTCACCCCTACAGACATTATGTTGAGTGAAATAAAGAGAGAAAAATAGGGCAGAATCTAACTTATATATGGAATCTAAGGAACGACTATGTTACATGGCCAGACAACCAAAGTTTAGGTGGCCTTCCTCACATACACTAAATATTTCTTAGGCCCCTGGGTTCCCCTAGAGAACATGTCAGTTATTAAACCAAGGAAAGGGACACTAACACCTACCAGGCCCTAGATTTTCCTTCCTTTCTACCCAAAAGTACCCCTCACCATGAAGCCAGCCAGTGTGAAAGTCATCCAGTGAAAATGGAAATAAGCCCTGGAAAGGAGAAGTGGCTGAGGAGAAAGAACAGTCAGTAACTGATGAGGCCTTTCTTAAGATGTCACCTACTTTCCAAGGTTTATCTTTTTACTTTTTCTGTTATGTTTTAGACAAAATGGACTGTACACACGCTTAGTGCCCAGTACATAATAAACATTATACAGATGTTCAGCATTAATACTGAAATATTAAAGACTTATGAGACACACGTAGTAGATGCTTTTGGTACTTCATAGATAACACTATAGCACATTTCTTTTCTTTTTTTGTAGGGGGGGAGGGTGGTACTGGGGTTTAAATCCAGGGCCCTCACACTGAGCTACGTTCCTTAGCCAATTTTTCACTGTGAGACAGGGTCTCAGTAAGTCCTTAAATTTCCCAGGCTGGGCTCAAATTTGCAATTCTCCTGCCTCAGCCTCCCAGAGTGTTGGGATTACAGGCGTGCACCACTACACCTGGCTCCCACTGCCTCCTCTTGAAAGCTCACTCAGCCCTTGAGCAGGGCAGTCCAGAAGTACAGGGGCATGGACGGGCATTCATTTTCATTCAACAAATTATCAGCCTCCGCTGCCTACATTGTCACAACTATCGCCATGACCCTGAGAGAAATAACAGAAACCCCACGTACAGCTTGATCAGTGACTCCCAGCCCCTTGATCCACACTTGCCATACCCTTCTGATCCCATTTTTGCCACACTAACTAGCACGTGCTGAGAAGGACAACATCTGAACATATGCCACTTGAAAATGGTCAACGGGCAGAGACAGCAGGGTCATAGGTCACATCGCCAAACGGGATGAAGAGGTAGTGGAGAAGCCTTGTAATCTGATCTTTCTTCCACTCTAGGTTTTACGCGGTGTTAAATCAGCCTGCAAAAGAGACTTTAAAAAGTGCCCCTAGGCATAGCAGACGCAGAAGTGGACAAGAAGGCTGAGGCTGCGCAGGCGCAGAAAAGAGGTCAGGTTTCCCGCTCAGGGTCGCCCTCGCTTCTCCCAAACAGAGGCCACAGAGAGAGTACAGTACCCGGCTCAAGGAGCCCTCGGTGCCCCTTACCTCGTGAGTCCCTCATACTGTTAGGCAAGGTCTAAGCGCCCGCCTTCTGAGGCCTTTAGGGGGCCCCACGCTCCCCGTCCAGGACCCAGCCAAACCTGGAGAAGTGGTGCCAGCAATGGACAAGGCACCTGGACAGGAAAGGCCGCCAGGCGGTTCAGCATCTGCCTTCCTCGCCACCATTCTTACCTCTTTGTCCGCCGCCTGCTCCTCAATGCCTAGCAACGCGTACAAGTCCATCTGTAAGAGCTCCTTGGTCACCGCCATGGCTCCAGCCTTAATTGGATTCGTACTACAACTCCCATGAGACCAAGCGGGGGAGGGGCTGCAGGCTCCCCGTCTGCCGCGTGTCGCTTAGCCCCCTGGGAATCACGGAGTTCCGGTTCCGCCCTGACTGATTCCGAGGGAGCGCGCAGCCACAAGTGAACTACGACTCCCAGCAGCCCCCGCTCCCCCCGCTTCTGCGCTCTGGGATCCCGGGCCTCAGGCGGCGGTCAGACTGCTGGAGTGGGCGTGTGGGGCAAGGTGGCTGGGTGGGCTAGGGCTGGGGTCTGGCCCGCCCGACTTCAGCCTCGCAGAGCCTGCTATCCTGGAAGACACGATGGAGAGCAGGTGCTACGGCTGCGCTGTCAAGTTCACCCTCTTCAAGAAGGAGGCGAGTCTTCCCTAGGGCTGGAGGGCCAGGGAGGACGAGGAGCAACGGGAAGAGCTTGGGACTTGCAGTGCAAAGACCCGGTTTTATGGCCCCTTTTCAGCAGCGTGGTTTTGATGAAGTCATTGAGCTTCACTTTCCATTTCTGCAAAGTGAGGCAAAGGCTTCCTCCCTTTTGGATCCGATGTGAGGATCCAAAGAGGTGCAGGAGGTGAAAGTACCCTGTACACTATGGAGTGTGCTGCTGTCATTTTCAGAAAGCTAGGCTTTTCCTGCCTCCCAAGTGTGGCGTCCGCCTGTTTTCTCCCTACCCTGTATCCAGCGCGGTCTTTAGTACCCTGTAACTGAGTCCATCACAGTGTGCCCTTTGCTCTGGCACCTCTCCCATCTCCATAACCCGCCTTTGCCCAGGTCTCTTCTCAATAACCACCCTTCCTCCTGCCCCCGGGGCACCAATCTGCCAGGTTCCCCTGGTAAACTGGCCTTTCTGTACCTCACCTGTAGCCAGAGCGTCTGACCAGAAGATGATGAAACCAGATGGGATGAATTAATACCATGTAGACAGGCAGGACCAGGTGACACTTAAATGACTGGATTTTGGAGTAAGTTCAAGTTTGACCTTTGCTGTCGTACCGGATGACTTGAGTCTGAACAAGTCATGTAACTTCTTAAGCCTCCTCTAAAATAGTGAAAATAGTTGTAATCCCAGCCCTTGAGAAACTGAGGCAGAGCTGGGCATGGTGGCGCACACCTGTAATCCCAGCGCTTGGAAGGCTGAGGCAGGAGGATCATTTCGAGTTTGAGACCAGCCTGGGCTACAAAGTAAGCTCAAGGCCAGCCTGAACTGCATAGCAGGAACCCTGTCTCAAAAAAAAAAAAAAAAAGAGAGAGAGAAGCTGAGGCAGGAGAATTGCCCATGAGTTTGAGGCCAGCCTGGGCTATGTAGTGAGTCCAGGCCGGCCTGAACTATATAGCAATATCCTATCTCAAAAAAATTAAAAGTGAAAAATAAATAAATAAAATAAGGAAAATAATGGTGAACATCAGGATTAAATAAAATAATGTGTATAGATTATGAGGGCTAAGTCAGATGATAAATGTGAAGTACTACACTTAGTGCCTGGCATACAGTGAGTACTTAATGGTAGCTATTGTTCTCAGCCCATTCTGAGCCAAGTTCTACCAGCGTAGGGGAGGCTCTGTGGTCACAAGATTCTCCTTTGTTGAAGAATCCATAGCCTGAAGCGCAGAGCTTTGCCCGCGGCAGGGAATTGAAGATGACAGGAAGCATGGCAGCTTGGCAGCAAGCTTTATGTGGTTTGTGTAAGAGACTAGAACCTTGGGAATTGCTTTACCCACTGCCCAGTCTCTCCCTGGACCTTAGGGCCCCACTCTTCTTCCCCCTCCCAGGAACTAGTCACAGCTTCCGAGTTTTCTCTCTCCACGGGCTTGGAGAGTCCCAGGGAGGAGCCTGCTGGGGAGGGTGAGAGGTAGATCCTCCTGCTTCATGTTTTTTGTAGTATGGCTGTAAGAATTGTGGCAGGGCCTTCTGTTCTGGCTGCCTCAGCTTCAGTGCAGTGGTGCCCCGAACTGGCAACACCCAACAGAAAGTCTGCAAGCAATGCCACGAGGTCTTGACCAGGTGAGAGGCCAACATGGGTCGGAGTTGGCCAAGCATGGCAGTAGGCATCTGGCCAGTCCATCAGAGGTCAGCCCAGGTTGTGTTCGGGGCAGGGGGCCTGACGGGTGGGATGGCAGGACTTCTAACACCAGGTTACTTCTCTGTAGAGGGTCTTCTGCCAATGCCTCCAAGTGGTCACCACCTCAGAACTATAAGAAGTAAGTACTGAAGATAAAAAAACAAAACTGGGCAAGGAGAAAGGACAAGGAAGTCATGGGTAGAACTATTCTAGATCAAATGAGTGTAGAGTCCGGAGAATACCCACCTTTCAGGCTGTTGACTGCCCACTTGGGCTCAGACAACTATTCATCAGCCCTCTCCCCAGAAAAGGCATTTGGTAGGTCTTGGCCTCTCACCCAGACCCGGGGCTGGTCAGCTGGGTTGGGTTGCAGAGAGAAACATGAACCAGGGCTATGGAAAATCGCACACTAGAGGCCTCCCTAGAGACCCAGAAATGATTTGATGGGAAACTGAGTGGATGCCTTCAGTCCACCCTTTTGCCTTCAAGAGCCTGTACCTTTATCCTGCCAGGCGTGTAGCAGCCTTGGAAGCCAAGCAGAAGCCCAGTCCCCAGAGCCAGGGACTAAGCCAGCAAGACCAAGTCATCGCTGAGCGCCTAGCACGGCTCCGCCAGGAAAACAAGCCCAGTGAGTCGGGGCAAGCAGGCTGGCCAGAAAAGCACAGTCTGGGGCTTCTGGGATTGGGGTTGCTCCGGTCCTTACACTGATCTCCCCATGCCAATTGCAGAGTCAGTGCCCTCGCAGGCAGAGATAGAGGCACGGCTGGCTTCACTGAAGGCTGAACTCCGGGGTCCCATCCCTTCCACCCAGGAGATGGAGACTCGGCTTGCAGCACTGCAGGGCAGAGTCCCACCTTCTCAGACCCCTCGGCCGGTGAGTGCTATGGCTTGGGAAGGAGGAGACTTCTAGGGCAAGGACTTGAAGGATCCCAGATACCTGTTTAGTTACGTACTTTTAGGAGTTGGTAAACCCTCCCATCTCTACTTCCTGAGCCTCAGGGCTGCTGCCAGGCCCAGGAACAAGCGACAGGCAGCAGGATTGACTGGGCCAGAAAAGAGTGGATGTGATTCAGTCCTATTGGGGTCTGCCAGACCCATCTGATTATGGGCCTTGAATTCCTCTGCTTCCCCTGGACTTTGAGGACTCCTCAGCATCCACTCCTGACCCACACTGCTTCTAGCCTTATAGTGCAGCTTTCCCCACATTCCCCACTGAGGTTCTCTCCTCTGGGCAGGCACATCAGACACCAGACTCCAGGACCCAGGCTGAGCAGACGCAGGATCTGCTAACACAGCTGGCAGCTGAGGTGGCTATTGATGAACGCTGGGAACGAGGAAACCCAGGTAACCCCTCTAGTTGGCTCCTCCATGGAAATGCCCTTCCTCTTTTCCCAGACGGGAGAGACTCTGCTGTCCACCCTTTGGGGAGATGAATATAAATCAGAGTGATCAGTACTATATGGGCTACCATTTATTGAATACTCCAGAGGAAGCCCATGTAAGCCTAGCGGTTAAATGCATGGATTTTATAGTCACACAGTATATCCTGGTTTTGCCACATACTAGCTCTGTGACCATGGGCAAGTTACTTAAGTCTCACTTTCCTTGTGTTTTTTTTTGTTTTGTTTTTCTGTTTTTCTTCCGGTACCGGGAATCAAACTCATGAGCTTGTGTTTGCCAGGCAGGCGCTTTGCCGCTGAGCTAAATCCCCAGCCCCTCACTTTCCTTGTGTGTAAAGTGGGTGATGTTAAAACCTACTTTGTGGCTAAGTGGAAGAGGAATTGAGTTAATCCAGTACACACTTGACTCACAATGAGTGCTCAGTGTTCTCTGCAATGATGGTGATGATGATAAGAAAGAAGAAGGCTATCAATGCTGGGCGTGGGACATGCTTGTAATCTCAGCACTCTGGAGGCTGAGGCAGGAGGGGGCCTGTGAGTTTGAGACCAGCTGGACTACATAGTCAGTTCTAGGCCAGCCTGAACTGCAGAGTGAAACCCTGTCTGAAAAAAATAAGGCTATTATAGCTTTCCACCATAGCCCACCCTGTGTTTCCCAGATCCAGCATGTACTTTTTCTTGAGACAAGATCTCATTATGTAGCCCAGGCTGACCTCAAACTCACAGGGATCCTGGTACCGGAGAAAACCCCCCCCAAAAAAAAAAAAAACTCACAGGGATTCTCCTGCCTCAGCCTCCCAAGTGCTGGGATAACAGGTGTGCACCACCACATCCGGCTAGCATGTACTTTTATCTTTGTTCTTATCTTTTTCTCTTTGCTTGGCCCAAGCTTACTCCACCAGTTTCTTTCCCATTCTTTTACTTTCTTGGATAAACTTTGCACTGCTAAAAAAAAAAAAAAAAGAAAAGAAAAGAAAAAAAGGAAAAAGGCTGTTGAAAATTAAATTCAGGGGCTGGGGATTTAGCTCAGCACCACAGCGCCTGCTTGGCAAGCACAAGGTTGTGAG